GCACACAAAAACTTGTACACTCAAGGTTTATAGAAGCATTATTCATAATAGCAAAAAGGTGAAAACAACCCAAATGTCCATTATGAGATGAACAGATAAAAAAATGTACATCTGTACAATGGAATATCATTTAGCCATAAAAAGGAACGCAACAGTATGGATGGACCTTGAAAACATTATGCTAAGTGCAAGAAGCCAGTCACAGAAGTCCACATATTTACAAGATTTCCTCCATATCAAAGTCCAGAATAGAGAAATTATAGAGACATAAAGTAGATTAGTGGTTGCTAAGGACTGGGGAAGGGAAAAGGTGTTCTAGAGGAGTGACAGTTAAAGTGTATGGGGTTTTCTTAAGGTGATGAAAATATTCTAAAATTGACTGTGGTGATGGTTGCACATTTTGGTGAATTTACTAAAAATTAACTGTACACTTTATATAAGTGACTTACATGGGGGATGAATTCTATCTCAATAAAATTTTTTAAGAAAAAAATCACTCCTGGTAATTTATGAGATAAGTAGAGGAAAAAATCAGTTAGGATATAAGAGGTCGTTAAACAACACTGTCAACCAACTTAACCTAATTGACATTTATAGAACACTTCACACTGCAGCAGAACTCTTTCTTTTTCAAGTGCACACAGAACGTTCACCAAAGATAGATCATATTCTCAGCCATTAAAAAAAAAAACAAATTTAAAATGTTTGAAATCATCTATGGTATAACACTGACCACAGTGGAATCAATCTAGAAATCAATGACAGAAAGATGTCTGGAAAAAATCCCTTCAAGTATTCAGAAATAAAACAATACAATTCTAAACAACTCATGGATAAAAGAAGAAATCACAAGGTGAATTAGAAATTTTTTTAATTGAAGAAAGATGAAAATACAACATGTAAAACCCATGGGATGTTATTAAGCAGTGCTATAAGAGAAATGTAGAATGCTTATATTTTTTAAAAGAGAAGCATCTCAAATCAGTGGTCTAAGCTTCCACATTTTGAAACTAGAAAATAAAGAACAAATTGCATCCAAAAATAAAAAAAGAAATAATAGAGATTATAGAAGTCAAGAAAACGAAAACAGAAAAAAATCCGTGAAATAAAAATTGGTTCTTCGAAACCACTAGTAAAATTAATAAATTTTTTCACCAGACTGACTGATCAAAATAGCAAGAAAAGACACAACTTACCAATATCAGGCATGAAAGAGGGTCCTTCGCTGCAGATCCCACAGACACAGGAATTTACAAAGAACTTAACGCCAATAATCTGGTAATTTAGATTAAATAAACAAATTCTTTGAAAGACATACCAAAGTTCACTCAAGAAGAAATACACAACCTGCATAGCTTTGTGTCCATTAAAGAATTTGAATTCGTACTTTAAAATCTGCCCACAACAAAAGCGTGGGCCCAGGAGACATTACTGGTGAATTCTACCAGATATTTAAGGAAGAAATAAACCAATTCTACACAAACGCTTCCAGAAAATGAAGAGAAGAGAGTATTTTCCAACTCATTTTTATGAGGTCAATATTATCTTGATATTAAACTAAAGACATTTCAAGAAAACTATAGACCAATATCCCTCACAAACACAGATTTTAAAAATTTTTAATAAAGTATTAGCAAACTGAATTCAGAAATATATAAAAAGGATAATGTATCATTACCATACAGGGTTTATCCCAGGAATTCAAGGTTGATTCAAATTCAAAAATCAATCAAAGTAATTTGTCATATGATCAGACTAAAAAAGAAACAACTATAATCAACTCAACAGATGCAAAAAAAAACTTTTGAAATATCCAACATCCATTCCTAATAAAAATTCTCAGCAAAACAGTAATAATGGGGAAGTTCCTCACCCTGATAAAATACATCTAGGAAAAATCTTTGGTTAGCTTTATGGTTAATGACCAAAGATTGAGATTTCACCCCTAAGATTGGGAACAAGACAAGGTTGTCTGCTCTCACCACATTTATTCAACATTGTACTGAAGATCCTAACCAGTGCAATAGGCAAGAAAAAGAAATTTACAATGTACACGTATTGGAAAGGAAGAAATAAAATGCTCTCTATTTGCATATTGTATGATCACCATGTATAAAATCTTAAGGAATCTACCAAAAAGACTATTTGAACTAATAAGTGATTTTAGGAAAGTCGCAGAAAACAAGGTAATCAAAACACAAAAATAAATTATATTTCTATATTTTATCAACAAACAGGTAAAAATTAAAATTTAAAAAACCATTTACAATAGCACTGAAAAACATGAAATAGAGATAAATTTAACAAAAGGTGTTCTCTAATCCATAAAACATTGTTGAGAGAAATAGAAGACCTAAATAAATGGAACATCATACCTTTTTCATGGATTGGAAAACTCAACTGTATCAATATGTCAACTCACCCCAAATTGGTCTACAGGTTCAATGCAATCTCAAATTCCTAGCAAGATTTTTATAGAAATTGACAAGCTGATTCTAAAATTTATGTGGAGAAGCAGAAGTCCTAGATTAGCCAAAACAATGCTGGAAAAGAACAAAGTGTGACTCAGACAATTCAGCTTCAAGATTTACTACGAAGCTATAGTTTTAAGATTTACTATGAAGTTACAGGCAGTGTGGTATTTGTGTAAGGGTAGGTATATGCATCAGTGAAAAAGAACAATGAAACAGAACAGAGTCCAGAAATAGACCCACACATATATGGTTAAATGCTTTTCAATAAGAGTGCCACAGTAATTCAATGGAGAAAGGATTTTTTTCTCCAGCAAACAGAATCTGGACCCTTACTTTACCTCATGCATATGTCCATTTTCTACCTGTCAACGAGTGGGAAAGGTAATAGCATCCCCCTTTATCTTACAGTTTCTCTCCAAATAGAAAGGGTGTGCCAGAGATAGGATGACCAAGAGTCCCAGTTTGCCTGGAACTGAGGAGATTCCCAAGGTGCAGAAATTTCACTTTGGGTTGACCAAGACAAGAAGGTTTACCCTAAGCAGATATATTACCAGTTTACCCATCACATCCAACTCCCCTTCTAGTTCTGCCTTCCATAGCTCATAACTCTGAAAATCAGCAGCCTTACCTTCTCCATGACCCCAGCTCCTTTGCTCATAGAGATGAACCAATCAGCTGGGCCAATCAGACACCCACTGAATGGAATCTAAACTGAGGGACAAAAAGGATGGGGTGATAATGGATCTTGGAAATGGAAGGCCACCTAGATTCAGATCCGGGGCAGTATTAGCAGGGCTGTGTCTGCAGATGAATAGCACTGGGAGCTGGCCTGAAGGAGCAAGTGTGCCGAGAGAAACACCAACAGGAAACCAGGAGAAAAATCTCTGGCTGCGACTCTGATTCCAGATTATACTTGCCGTTCATGGATTCTGGGAGGTAGCTTGGAAGAATCCTCCTTTACCCGGCACGTCCTTACCAAAGTGTCTGGCCACCCCAGCCAGATAGAGGACTTCTAGCATCTCTCCCAGTAGATGCACACATTAGGTGCTTACTCCCTGTGAGCAGAATCAGTTATGAACTGTGATGGTCAATTTTATATGTCAACATGACTAGGCCATGTGCCCAATTATTCAGTCAAATACTAGTCTAGATGTTGCTGTGAAGATGTTTTGTAGATGTGATTATCATTTACAGTTGGTAGACTTCAGTAAAGCAGATTACTCTCCATAACGTGGGTGGGCCTCACCCAATCAGTTAAAAGACTTAAGAGTCTCCCCAAGAAGAAGGAATTCTGCCTCAAGACTGGAACAGAAATCCTGCCTGAATTTCCAGTCTGCAGGTGTGCCCTACAGATTACAGACTTGCCAGTCCCCATGATCATGTGAGCCAATTCCTTAAAATAAATATAGACAGACAGACAGACAGATAGCTATCTCCTAAGGGGAGGGCCACTTCTGATGAAATGGTGCCTTTCAACAATCCTGCAGGGAAGTGGCTGCCCCAATGGCTGGTGTGTTCTCTTAATATAAGTGCTTTTTGTTCTAAGTTGTGAACTTTAATTTTCTGGGAAAAACAAACAAACAGAAAAGAACTCCTCTAGGTGAGAAACGTGCTCTTGCTCATGTTTATCAGGTACTTAAACATACCAGGCTCGACTGGGAGCATCTCGTTTATCTTGCCCACAGATCTGGGATATAGGTCCTATTGCCATCATCCCCAATGTACGTAAAAAGAAACTGAGGCTCAGGAAGGCTTGAGCAATTTGCTAAGGTCAAATTAATACATGGAAGACACCTACAGCTAGGGAGTGGTCAGAGCCAAAACTTGAACCCAGGGCCCTCGGACCAATCACTGCATAAGCCACCACTGGGGTAAACAATGTGAAGCTTGGCATGGTGTGGCCATAAGGTACACAGTCAACAAGGCCAGGCTGTTTTATGTTGTATTCAGAACTGTCCTTGCTGTGGGTCAGCGACAGACTTGGGGTCAACTCACACTAAACCACCTTCCCCCAACACTTGCTTTAACCTGGTGAATGTAAAATGGCTCCTCACCTGGCTCCCCACGCTCTATGCCACATCCTCTCAGAAGGCTTGCCCTCTCCTCGGAAAATAAGGGACAAATCTGAAATCTGCCACCAAGACCATCATGCCCCATGTATGTTGGGACTTGGTGTCATTATCACTGGGAAATCCGCAATACCCCACCTTCGACCTCACCTCCCCTCAGTTCAGGCATAGCCCAATCAATGTACCAGTGAGATCTCTGGACCCCAGTGTCACTGGTGTTAGCCCAGTATGTTTATCTGGAACAACATCTGAGGCACAAAATAACTTAATCTGTAAAATGAAGGGGTACACATGTACCGGGGACATGGACCAACTTCCTAAATCTTTAGCATCTCACAGAGTCTGACTGTGAGAACCCAACTGTGGTGGCCAGAAAATGAACATATCAGTGAAATTATAGGATAAAAATAAATGACCCGAGGGGCGACTGGGTGGCTCAGTCAGTTAAGCATCCGACTCTTGGTTTCGGCTCAGGTTGTGATCTCAGGGTTGTGAGGTTGAGCCCCACAGAGGGCTCCAGACTCAGCAGGGAGTCTGCTTTGAGATTCTCTCTCCCTCTCCCTCTGCCCCTCCCCCCAAAATAAATAAATCTTTAAACATAAATAAATTAAATAAAATAAATGCCCCTGAAGCCTAAATTCATGTAATTTTGCAAGAACATGGGGGAAGTCGGTGTGAAAATGCTCCCCACCGAAGAATTTAGACCCAGAAGTCAAATGCAAAATCTGGTTCCAAATGGGAAAACCCTAAGAAGCGTTGCTAATTTTTACGTGAGAAAACCCTGGAAAGCAGTAATGCCAGCCACTCGGAGAGATGAGCTGAGGGACTGGCAGCCGTCTGCAACCTATTACTTCAACACACCCTGAGCCGGAGCTGAGACCTGGGGTCGGGTTACAGGGAGTCAGGAGATAACCAGCCCGTGGCCTTTCTCAGAAACTGCCCCCTGCTGACCTCCAACCTGGAATGGCAAGCAGGGAGGTGGAGAGGGGAGAAGCAGGGAAGTGGCAGGCATGGTCACCCCTGTGGCAAGGGGGCAGAAATTAAACCTGAGCACAGCTCACCAGGCATCCCCCTTGCAATAGCAATGAGAAGGGCTTTCCTCCATCCAGAGCTGAGCAAAACTCATCCGCCCAAAGTCCTTGAGCTTTGGCAGCAGTGAGGAGAGGACAGGGTACTACCCAGAAAGTCAAGTTCTCGGCTGGGCCACTGACCCCTGGCCAGCTTGTGTGCCTCCAGGCACCGGCCTTTGCTACCTGCCCAATCCCAGAGGGCCCAGGCTCTTCGGGAACCTGCAGGAATACTGGAAAAAGACAAGCACTCTGCCCCTCTTTCTATGTCCTCCTCGGCTGTGTAGGAGAGAATATCTCTTTCTCTGGATCATCATCAACATGACTACTCTCAAACTTCTTTGACATTTGCCTATCTTCCTGTTAAAATTTGCCCTGTTTTGATTTACTAGTGATGCTGGGCTTTTCACTTTCAAAAGTGCTGGCACCGGACATGGGGAGCCATGGACCCCGGCACCCTTGGCCAGGCGGAGCTGCCTCTTCACTGAGGCACCATACCGCTGGGCTTGGGGAAGGCAGGAAGGAAAAGGGGCCAAGGCGGTGGGCTGCAAATGAACCAGCCGCCCCCACAGCCAGTGCTATGCATGCAGCATGGGCTTGGAACTTGGCACAGTGGCTCCTACATCCTCACTACCACTCCAAAATCCCTCCCCCATTGCAGATGAAGGAAGGGAGCTGCAAGGAAGCAGAGTGACATCACCCCCAGGAGCTCACTGGCCAGCACAGCCATCCCACCCTGCTGTCTGCCACGTGGGGACAGAACATGATGCTAGCAAACCAGAAAGTAGGGCCCCAAAGTCAAGTCCACAAAGCTGGGTAGAGCACTTACTGGTGGAAGGCCCACGTTGGGTCTCACAGTCCAGGCAGGTGGAACGGGGGGTCTGGCCCCAGCCCCCATCTCTATGCCCCAAAGTACCAGCAAAATGCATACCACACACACGTAGACACACACACACACACACACACACACACATACACGGCTCTCAGAGACCACTCGCCTTTATTCCACTGCCTTGCCCAGGACTAGGCCCCACGCCCAGCCACACAGTCACAAACAGGGTGGTCCCAGGCCACACAATGCCGTGCCTCCAACAACCTGCAGATCACAGCAATTCCCCATAGACTAGTCCTGCACTCCCTGTATCACATCTTTGCCCAATCCATAGGAAAGGTGTTTATCAGAGTAGCCTTTTAGTGAAATAACTGAATTTCCTCCCAATTTATCCTAAAAAATAAGCCACACAAGGAGTGATTTGACAGACACAAGTAAGACTCCACCCCCTTATGGCTGAGGCTCCAGAAAAACTGAGGTTGGCCAGGCCATGAGGAGGCTGGCCCCCCAGCTGCCCCAGGTCTAGTGGGGGAGCTCTCAGGAAGAGGCTGAGCCAGTCCCCAGACGATCTGCCACCAGAGTCGGGGGGAAGAGGGAGGAGAGGAATAGGACTTGGCTCTTAAGTGCCCCTCATGCAGCAGGAGCTTTTCCCACTTGCTGAAGAAGCTTTATGAATCCTCCCAATGACTGTTGAGAAAGTGTGGTTATTCCCATTGCACAGGTGACTTTCAAAGGTCAAAACGGAACAAAGATGAAAATCAGGAGACCTGGTTCCATTCCACCATGCTAGAGGAATTTTGAAAATAGCATCGACCCAACCAAAGGGTGAAGAATTGATTGGTGACTGTTATTTCCCACCCCTGAGCCCCTCAGAAAATGAGCTAATAGAGTATCCCTTCGGGTGTGAAAATCTAGAAGAATGAACGTGCTCTGCCTGTCCCCAAATATACCCCAAGAGCTGCAGGCGCCTATCTCCAAGTCATGGGTGCTGGACACCTCTCTGGACTCAGGTAGACAGCCCTGTGTCACCACAGATACACTTCTCATGATGTTCTTCTTGCCTGACTTCCGGGCTCCCATTAGGAAGCTGGTTGCTCCCCCACTGCTCATCTGCTACCCTAACTGACCCCTCAGACCCACACTCAGCCCCAATTTACCAGCCAGGCACCCCCTAAAATAAGTTTTAAAACAGCATATGCTCTTTAATATGGCACCAAAAAGCTGGAAGAAAAAAAAGGTCAAGGCAAATATACATTAAGAAGGGGCATCTGGGTGGCTCAGTTGGTTAAGGTCTGCCTTCCACTCAGGTCATGATCCTGGGGTCCTGGGATCAAGCCCCGGGTCAGGGTCCCTGCTCAGAGGGGAGTCGGCTTCTCCCTCCCCTCCCTGCTTGTGCTCTCTCTCTCAAATAAATAAATAAAATCTTTAAATATATATATGTGTGTGTGTATATATATACATATGTATATATATATATATATATATATATATATATATATATATATATATACTAAGAAGATGTAAGGGAGGGACACCTGGTAGCTCAGTGGATTAAACATCTGCCTTCGGTGTGGGTCATGGTCTCAGGGTCCTGGGATCAAGCCTTGCATGGAGCCTGCATCAGGCTCTGCGTTCAGCGGCGAGTCTTGTTTCTCCCTCTCCTTTTTCCCTCTTTCAAATAAATAAATATATGTTTTTAAAAAGACGCATGGGGAAAAATATTGTATTGGTCAAACTCGCATCCAAGTCAAAAATCCGAAAACGAGGAAGGAAGCTGAAATGAGGTATAAGTCTGAGTGAAAAGGTGACAGAATCGCCGTGACTTATATGTTGTTATACGTTGTAGTTCAGCTTCTATAACCCATCCACCAACACAACTATATTGGGCCTTTGATACTTTCGATGCAGATTTTCAGGGTCTAGAGGAGGGTTCACGCTGCAGAGCGCACAACCATTCACTCAATAGAAACCCTTTACTACTCGTCCCTTCCCCTTCGGGCCAGCTCCTGTGACACAGCACGTGTGTGCAAGCTGCGCACCCACGCCCACGCCCCCACCCCCACCCCGCATCCAGACATCCAGATGCTAGCCCAGAAGCCAGCGATTGTTCCCCGCTCCAGGCCTCGCAGCACTTTCAGGCTAATGGAGGAGACAGACAACAAACAAGCAAAAAGACATGATGCTAGCAAACCAGAAAGTAGGGCCCCAAAAAAAAAAAGGCAGCAAATCCATAGAGAACACAGACCTGCGCGGTTGCCAAGGGTTGGGGGGGGCGGGGGGGGGAGGGATGGGGAGTGAGTGATTAATGGGTAAAATGTTGAAAATGTTCTGGAACTAGATGGTGGTGGTGGTTGCAACACTTTTTTTTTTTTTTTTTTTTTAAAGAGAGAGCGCGCACGCGAGCTGGGGAAGGGCAGAGGGAGAAAGAGAACCTCAAGCCGATTGGAGCTGAGTACGAGCTGGAGTCCTAGGTGGGCTGGGTCTCAGGACCCTGAGATCATGACCTGAGCAAAAACCAAGAGTCGGACACTTTACCGACTGAGCCACCCAGGTACCCCCTGCACAACATTTTGAATGTACTGTCACTGAAATGAACACTTTAAAGTGGCTAAAATGGTAAATTTTATGTTGTGTGTATCTCACCACAATTTTGTTAAAAAGATACTTGTGGTCATGGAAGGTTCTGTAAAGAAAGTTCAGCAGGGTATGGTAAGAGAGAGATGGGGACGGGACCCGTGGAGGGTGGGTGGTCAGGAAAGAACTCAGCCCTGTGAGGGTGTGGGGAGAGAGCATTCCCCGCAGAGGGACACAAATCGGTGGAGAGTGGGTTGGAGGGGGGACACAGGCCAACAAGAAGCATCCCATCTCCTCTGAAGACCCTGGAAGCCGCTGAGGCAGGGAGATGAAGGAGCTAATCGGCATGTTACAAAGTTTCTTTGGCTGCTGTGTGAAGAAAGGGTTGCGGGCAGTGAGCATGAAGCAGGGGGACAGGGCCACGCTAGGAGAGTCTGCAGGCAAGTTCAGGCCTGGCTGGTGATCAAGGTCAACACTTCCTCGCGGGGGCGGGGAGGGAGGACGTGGAGGCTAGGAGGGCCCCTGGCCCAACAGGCGAGATTGCCATGGTTACTGGATGGTTCCCAGGAAACGCAGAGAAGGCAGATTCCCCATGAAAAGGAACATGTCACGCAGCTGTCACTGGGGCATGGACCGGGCCCGCCTGGGGCACCTAAGCCAGGCCAGATATGCAGCAGCGGGGGCTGAATTCTGAGTCACCTGAGAGGATGCTAAGGAGCGCGTCTTAGGGCTGCTTCTGGTCACTGCCCAGGCTAAGCCAACAGAGAGAGGTGGGCCTTGGGTGACCCCAGCCGTGGGGGGTGGAGGCAGAGGGGGCCGGAGCCCAGCTGGACTTAGAGCACTCCCCAGGCTGGAACTAAGGGGCGGGCCGGCGAGCCTACACAGGAAGATGCAGGCATTCAGGCACGGAGCCGGCCACGTGGCTGAGAGGAGCCACATCCGTGAGTGTGCAGACTTGGTCCACCGGCTGGCCGGCGTCGGCCAGGAAGGAGGGTGGGGAAAGATGTCTGGCTCCCAGGCAGAGGACGTCCAGATGGATACAGAGGTGGTCATGGAGGAACCACTTTAACACTGACAGAAATTGTGGGTCATAGCAGAACGGACAGGTCCAGGTGGGGAAGCTTCCTGGGGCTGGCGGCAGGGCGGACATGTCTCCTGAGTCCTCGTCCCAGACAACGCCTAGGTCTACCCTCAAGAAACAGGGGTGACTGAGCAAGCACTGAAGGGGCCAGAGGTCGTGAGGCTCCACAGCTCCTGACATGTGGTGTGGATTTTTGTGGAGAAAGGACACCTAACAGGGGAAGAGAGTGTGAAGGTCATGGTCATGTTGGAGGGGCTTGGCTTCAATCTAACAGGAACACAGTGTTAGAGTATGCCTTCCCAGAGCCTCAACATAACAGCACCAATTCTTGTCAGACATTGAATCTTAGAAATGTGACGAAACAGCAAGCATGATGGTAGATGGGAAAACACAGCTGAGAGTCTGTATCTTCCACAGCAGGTTAGGACATCAGAAGGTGCTCACCAAAGCATAAGGTGAAAACAAAAAAGACAGGCCCGCGTGGTCAGGGGAGTGATGCTTGCCCAGCCATGACCATCATCTTTACCCCAGCTCATTTCTGCGTAGACCCCAAAGGTGTGTTCAGGGATCCGTGAAGCCCCTGAGTTGCTGTAAACTAGAATGATCTGTATCACCAATGTTCACTACTACCCTCTCCAGGAATGAGTGGATAGCAGGAAAGTTCTCACAGACGAGGCACACCTTGCCCTGCCCCGTCCTACAGGGGCCCTCGGAACAGCAAGGTCAGATCTGCTAGGAGCTGGGAAATGTCCCCAGAAAAGAGGCAGTGGGAGAGAGGCCTTAGGGGACAAGACAGGACTGGGGGAATGGGCAGGAGGAGGCAAAGCATCATTCCAGGCTCACCAGGACTGAGTAAGTTGTGCTCGGGGACCCCAAGGGGCTGGCACACACCTCAGCAAAGCAGAGGCAGATGCTTCCTTCCAGACATACTGGGAATGGGGTGGGGGTGGCAAAGGCAAGGAAGAGAGAGGATCCAGCCAGTAGAGCATGTCCCCACTTACTCCTGCCCTGAGCCACCATGCAGCTGCTATGCGCCAGGCCCTGCTGCTGGCACTCCAGTCGGCTGTGGCCCCTGTGATCTGTCTACCCAGTCTCAAGGGTCAAAGCTCTGTCCAGTTCACCAAAGTCTGCACTTAGCAATGTTGCGCACGGGAAGGAATAAGTGAAGAAATGAACAAGCAAATGCACGCACAGATCATTTGTGGAATTCAAGTCTGAGTTCAGAAGCGAATGAATAGAAAAACATTAGTCACCAGATCTAAGGTCAAAGTCACGAGCTGTGCTTCCCGACTCCACTTCTTAGCATTTAGGTGACTTTAGGTGGATTGAGTCACTTCATGGCCCACGGCTTCTCGTCTGAAACAGGGTCTCAGCACACAGTGCATCCCAGACCCTGCAGCAAAAGCTCTGCTAAGCCAGACACCACCACCCCCCGCCCCGCAAAAGGCTTCCCTATGGTCCACGCAGACGTTTCCACAGGCCGGGCTGAAGCCAAGAGCTGAGATTTGAACGAGATCCTGACCTGAAATGCACACATTCCTCAGTGTGTTTCCTCTCTTCCATTCTTTATAAATCAGAAAATTAATTACCCGGAAAAGAATCTTCTGCATCAGAAACCCAAATGAGTTTAATGTATAATTTACACATGAAAATGTAGACGTCAATGTGTGACAAATTGCCATAAAAATGTTTTTGCTGTTAAATTTTTGGGCATCTGTCTTCCTCCCAGAAAAGCCACCATACAGACGGTGTGAGGCCCCAGGGCTGAGGTCAGGCGGGGCTGGAAAGGCAGCCTGTCATTTTCACCAACTAGGGAGGCCCCAGCCTGGACACCAGCCACGCCCAGCCAAGTCAGAGCTCTCCCCCTTGGGGTCCTGTTGTGGGTCTCATTCAAAACACAGATTTAACCGTGTGCCAGCTCTGTGCTAGACCAAAGGATGGAAGACAGGATGGAGTATGGTCTCATGCTCCAGTGGCTTTGAGACCCCTGGGAGAGCCAGGCAAGCAGATGATAAATGATAGAGTGTGGGGCGGGGGGGAGGCAAGGAAGAGAGAGGATCCAGCCAGTAGAGCATGTCCCCACTTACTCCTGCCCCCAGAGGGGGGCACTACATGCCAAGCACTTGTAGAGGAGTGAGTTCTTCCCTGCACCAGGAGCACCCACCAAAGACTCCAGGGGGCAGGGACTAGTCCTGGGGGAGTTTGTCAGGGGGAGGAGGCAAGGGGACATTCCCCATAGGAAGAACCACTCGTGCTAAGACAGAGGCTGGGTACAGCAAGCATGTCCAGATGGGTGTGAGTGTGGCCAGGACGGTCCAGCGGGGAGCCTGGAGGGGGAAAGGAGCTAGGTCACCAGGGGGCCTGCACGCCCAGTCCAGACATAGGACTTTGTCCTGGATTGAAACTTTAAACAGATCAAGTCTATACTTCACTCTGCTGAACCATATGGAGGCCAAGAGGAGGGTTGTTGGGGGGAATGAATGAGAGAGAAGATGAATGGACTCTGCATACTGTCAAGTGCAGGAGCCACAGAAAGTACCATCCCTCGCAGGACCCGGAGTCCTCCAGCAGGTCCTGACTACTTCAGCGTTATCTTCATCCCGGGCGCATCAGCCCACGGGCACAGGACTGCATATAAACCAGCCGAAACGTGAAACACGGGCCGGGCCCCTGCTTTTTCTCTGCACCTGCTACTGCCATTCAGGGCTGGTCATTCTCTGTGCAGGACATTCCCTGACACCCTCTCTCCAGATGCCTGGCGAGGCTCCAGCCCCAGGCTTCCTTTCACACGCAAATTGAGAGGAGCAGCAGGGTGCTCTGTGCTGACCCTAGCTGAGAACCACTGTGCTGGCACGCACAAGGGAGGGAGGAACTGCATGTCCTCCTTACACGCTGGCCCTCCGTCCTAGAACCACTGGTGAAGGTCAAGAATACGCCCTCTCCCTCACCAAGGGATCATCACCTGTGTTGGAGCCCAATCGGAGATCCCAACGGAGTCTTCCCAGAACTTGGGTCTCCCACAAGGCCAAGCAAGTCCCCATTCCCTCACCCCATCAGGAGCCCCCTCTGCTGCCTTGGAGCCTCACAGACCTGATCAAAACACAGAGGCCGGGCTAGTGGGGCCAGACCCTCCTAGAACAAGGGTTTCGAGTCCCCAGCCCTCATCACATTTGGGCTCCTTTTAAAGAAGACAGCCTGGCATCAATAACTTCTCTACCTCCTGGGAGCCCAGGGGCCAACCCCTTGGTGACTCCCAGCCACATACCTTGCTTGACTTTCGGGGGCCTGAGGCCCTCTGCCTGGGCCACGACCTCCCAAGCCTCGCGCTCCCTCCAGCGCCTCAGCTGCTCCTCTCGCATTTTGTAGAAGAGAATGTGCTTCTGCACATCACTGAGCTCGGCGAGCAGTTCGGGGTCGATGTACATGTCGTGCAGGATCTGCTGCAGCATGATGTCAGCTGGGGTGCACCCACCAGAAGGGCAGCCAGCCAAGAAGCCCTGCCAGATGGGACACCCCGGGCTACTCCTCACCCCCGGCTCCTCACTGCAGCGTCACTTGGGGTGTCCCTTTGTGTAGCATCGTCATGCTGCCTCAGCACCCAGCCAGGGACAAACGCATCTCCTCTGCCCAGGACAGCAACTGGGACCAGGCAGCAGGAAGCAAAGAGGCAGCTGGGCCCCGGCAAGGGGTGGGGGGCAGGCATCAGGAGCAATCTAGTCCTTCTGTTGGGTCACCAACTGCCACATCCCAGCAGCGCCTGTGTCTTGGCCTCCCCTGGGGTTCAAGGACAATGGGGAGGATCAAAGCCTCCAGCTCTGCAGGGCAATGTGCGGACCCGACCCTGCCTGGGCCGACAGGTGTCGAGTGATCTGTTAGTGGAAGGTAACTATGACACCAGCCGTATCGATGACACTGCCCGGGCCAGCCAGGAACTGATCTCTCCTCCGCAGGTAAGAGGAGGAAAAGGCAGTTCTGCCTACGCATTCCATGAGTTCTGAGCCAACTTCAAACCTGCCAGAGGAGCCAGCCAGCAGTTTCTAGGCTCCTCAGCCTCTCCCTCTACCCGCTCCCATCTTGCCAGCCTTCTTCTTTTCCAGGACATTTGGCATCCTGAGGTAATGCTTTTAAAACTCTGCCTCTCACTGTGTTAGCGCCCAGAAAGGAAACACGATAGAATCAATAGGGACCAGGAAGGGGCATTACCATGGACGGAATTCAAGGACACACAGGTGGCCGACTTCCTCTCTCCTTTCCCTCTCCTGAGCTCCAAAAGCCGAGCATGTCCTGACAGATTAATCCTCCAGGGCTCAGTTTTGGTTGCTGCAGTTGATTTTTGTTGTTGTTGTTTGCAGGTGTCTGGAGATCACCAAGCAGAATGATATGGTTTCTCTGTGCCCTGAATCAGAAGCACTTGGGACAGAGTGGGATGCTGCTCTCAGGTGGATAGGACCAGGCCAACAGGTGCTCACAGCTACTCACAGCTGCCCCTGTATTCCGACAAGGCAACTGGGCTCCAGAAGGTAAGTAACCTGCCTATTGCTACCCAATCCCTAAGTTACCACCGTGCGACTCTACTTTCAAATCCGACATCCACTGGCAACTGTGAATCTTTTGATGGTTTAAAAATGTATCCCGACCGGGAGAAAAACAACAGCCGGTGCGGGTCTGGCACTGTGGTGTGGTAGGATTGGTGATCTTCATGTCCCCTTCCCGCCCCATGAGGGCCAAAGGTGGATCAGACACCCAAGGGTGATGGACCACAGGTGTGACTGGGTTCTCTTCTCCGGCTGCTGGGTTAGCACACAACAGGAGAATAATGAAGCTGTTGGGATGAGTATCAAGCCACAGGGTCAAAAACAAGTGTGGGGGGCCAGGCTGCCCCTCGCCTAGGCCTAGCTGGCTTGCCGCCCCGCGACCCAGACCTTGCAGCCTCCACACTGAGGCTCGACCATCCAGAGCCGCGGCCCCGGACTCACCACGCCGTCCTCTTCTCTGTCCTCCCAGCTCAGACATTCCAGTGACTCCCCTACTTGTGTGCCCGTTCCCTGTTTCTTACAGCGAGGGCTTCCCTTGCCTCGGGCACAGCTCTCCGCGCCCTAACTGGGGCTGGGTGGGAGAACGGTGTCCAGAGCAGAGGCAGCAGGGGCACGAGGGGAGTCCGGCCTCCTGCTGGCAGCCTCCTCCTTCTTTCTTTGGGCGGGGAAGAGGGCGGGCGGGGAGAGACGCCTGCAGGGAGAAAGGCCGGAGGGGACGGAGAGCAGGAATGGGCAGGCTGCACGCGCGCCTCGGGCGGGGGTGATGCCGATGGCACCCATGTGGTGGCCACTCTGCCGGGAAAGGGTGGGTGGGCAATCCCAGGTCGGTGGAGCGGGAGGCCGAGCCTCCAGCCGAACGCAGCCGGGGCGCCACCGGGTTCGCTTTCCGGAAAGACGCGCTCGCCGGGCACGGGTGGTTGCCGCTCTGCCTGCTCGGCGCCACCTCCCGCCAGCCCTGCCCTGCGGAGGAGGCCGCTCGGCCCGGCCTGGGGCGCCCCCTGGCGGCCGGTGTGGGCGCCTCGAGGAGCCCGGGAGCCCGCCTGCCCGGAGCCCCGGGGCACCAGGCGCGGACACGTGGATCCGCGCGGAGAGGAGACCACCGAACTGTGCGTCGGGGACACTGTGGCCCTCAGTGGCCGCGAACGCAAGGGCAGGGGCCGCGCAGACGACAGGAGTACCGGCGACTAAAAACGAGGCCCCTGGGTCTGCAGATGGTTGTCTGCCGCTTTTCAACTGCCCTTGTTTTGTTTTCATTTGTCATTGGCCGCGTGATTTGTTTAATTCTGCACGCTAACGCAATTGCTTCTGGAGCGGGAGTACACGCAAAGGGACTGGAGACCACCTGAACGTCCCTCTGTGGGATGGGGGGGCTGCTCAGTCCCGAGCATTACACCTGTCACAAAGGATGGGTGGAACTGCCTGCTTTGGCAAGGGAAGATATCCACGGCAGATAAAAGGAAAAGGTGACCCACAGAATACTGTGTGCAGTGTAATTCATTATTTGAATTTGTATCATTACTTTTGTGTAGACAAAGGACAAATACGGAGCACACGTGACCTTTTTTTTTTAGATTTTATTTATTTATTTGACAGAGATATAGAGAGCACAAGTAGGCAGAGAGGCAAGCAAGGGAGAGGGAGAAGCAGACTCCCTGCTGAGCAGGGAGCACGATTCAGGGCTCCATCCCAGGACCCTGGAATCATGACCTGAGCCACCCAACACCCCCACACATGGCTTCTTGCTTTCTTCTTGGAAGGGGAAGGGCGATCACTATAGGCAATCCTATCCATTGTTTTATACAGTAAGATATAGAATACATACAACTGAAGCAAAATGTCTTTCGAAAGTCCTTAAATGTGATTCCAAATAATTGGCCTCCACACCAGCACCCACCGCCGGGGAGGGAGGGAGATGCAGGCAAAGTCAGAGCTCCCTGGCCGGGAAGGCTAGAGTGTCGGGATGGATGAACTGCTCATGTCATCAGAGGTTCCTAAACCAGAGAAGGGCTTGGAAGGCATTTCTCAGCTCTGGCGCTGGTGCCAAGAGGAGGCTGGAAAAGCAGGAGGCAGGCAAAGCCGGCCGACTTTGGCCAAAGTCTAGGAGAGAAGTGATAAGGACTGTATGGGAGCTGCCAGTGGGGACCAAGGAGGGGAGACTTGGGAGACATTTCTTATCCCAGAGCCTCCTATCAGGTTCTCTCTGCATCTACTTAAAATCTTTTTTTTTTTTTAAAGATATTATTTATTTATTTTACAGGGAGAGACACAGGGAGAGAGGGAACACAAGCAGGGGAGTGGAAGAGGGAGAAGCAGGCTTCCCACTGAGCAGGGAGCCCGATGCGGGGCTCGATCCCAGGACCCTGGGATCATGACCTGAGCCGAAGACAGACGCTTAACGACTGAGCCACCCAGGCGCCCTACTTAAAATCCTTTTAAAACTTAAATCAGATCATGGCATTCTCTGCTCAAAACTTTGCCATGGCCCCCATTTTACTCAGAGTCAAAGCCCAAGTCCTCATAGGGGCCCACAAGGCACTCCAGGATCTGCCTCTCTCCACCCTCACCCCCTCAGATAAGCCCTCCCAGCCCTCTCCCTCCACCTGTGCCCCAGCCTGCTGGCCTCCTTGGCTTTCCACAAACACACCAGGCATGTTCCCTCCTCAGGGCCTCCCTGGGATCTTCCCTCCATCTGGAACCTCACCTCCTTCAAGTCTTTGCTCTAACCTTTAACTCCTCCATACTCCTGATCCTCTCTTACTGTGCTTGATTTTTTTTTCTTATTACTTGCTTTGTAAAACACCATTTTACTTATTGTGTGTTTTTCTCTCTCTCTCTCCCTATTAGATAGCAAGCAGTGCTTCACTGATGTTCTCTGTGCCTGCCACACTGCTTAGGCTGCAGCAGGTGCTATTAGATAAATATCTATTGGAAGAGAATGAATGAAGGAACTTGCAAGGGGGAATTGATTGGAGCCCATGCAAATGCTGGGGAGGCATCCAGAACAGGACTCTGAAGTGAGGTTGCTGGAGACTTGAACGTAGGAGTCATGAGGCGATAAGCTAAATCTCTGGGGTATTAGGTAGACTGATGGCCCTGCTGTAGGGCCCCTGCCCTGCCCCACCCCCGCCGCACCCCCGTGCCCTCACCACATGGTCTCATTCACAATCAGAAAGATCTAATGCCAGAAAATGTCTAATCCATCTGTCTTCGTGGGCATCCAACGTGGCTCCCCGTGATTCCTGGTATTCGTGACCCCCCCCCCATGTGTCAGGGTTGCTCTGAGCCATCAATAGAAAATGCTAGAATGGTGATCTGTCACTTTTGAGGTTAGGGCGTAAAAGGCAGTCTGCTTCTCCTTTGGGTTCTCTTTCTCTCATCACTTTGGGGAAGCCATGTGAGCCCCACATGGTAAAGAGCTGACGTCTCACGCCAACAGTCATGTGAGTGAGGTGGGCAGAGATCTGGTCAGGTAAGGCTGCAGCCCTGGGCTGGCAGTTTCACTGTAACCTCCCCAGAATCATCCAGCTAAGTCATTCCTAGATTCCTGACCCTCAGAGAGGGTATAAGATATATATATGTTGTTTTAAGCTGTCAGACTTCGGGGTAATTTGTTATGCAGCAATGCATAACTAATACAATATCAAATTAATGTATACATTTAGTAAAATTTCAGGCCAAACCTGGAAATTAACTGGGAAGTGGGGGAGAAGCTTGGTAAAAAGATTGCCAAGTTCAACCAAAAAAAAAATGAATAGATGAGAACAGCCTAGAAAACGTACGGAAGTACAGAAACTCTGTACTGCCCAATTCAAACTTATAAAGCAAACATTTCAGTCCTGACACAAGAACAGGCAGACTAAAGTGAGAAAGCCCAGACACAGATCCAGATGTATATGTAATTATTTAGTACATGG